TCATAGTAGACGGTGTTGCTCTAATTACAAGCCTATTAACGCTGTTGTTCCACAAGGCTGGGTGCTATCACCAACTCTCTTCCGTCTGCATATCTTTATATATAAAAATTACGTGTCACGTTGTTTGTCCGCGAGGAACTCCTAAACTACTGAACTGATTTCAATGAAATGTTTCACAATGTGTGCAGTTTGGTCCAACTTGAGAGATAGGATAGTTTTTATCCCGATAAGTGACCCTCAATTTTTTTATTGTGATTTTTTATGATTTTTTTAGGACACATGGTCGTCGGAAAGGGCAGAACAACGTCTGCCTGGTCAGCTAGTCAATTATATGTTGCAAACTGTTAACATTGCTCAGATGACAGCACTGGTGATACTTTATATACCAATGCTAATATTTCTCAGGAAAACGTCACCGAGTACCGGGACAAACTCGTGTCAGAAGTCGAGTCTTTGCTCTCTCTATTTCATATTATGAAACGTATTAGTATTTCAAATATTATGAAACACCTATCCTATATATATATAGTAAGTCTTTGAACAAGTAAGTAATTAGGAGAATTAACTGTACTGTCTTTTTTACAGAGGGGCGAGCTAGCATGCGGCTCACCTTATAATAACACCTTTATTTACGTGCTGGAACCATGCTGCAGCTATATTAGTTGTATAGTTGTAGCACGAATAGGTCGGCTCGACCGGGGTAAGACCACGCTCTCACAGAACACCAGCGTAAAATAGCAGCCGCTGCGGTTTCGTATGGTGAGTGTAGAGAACCGGAGAACCTTTTTACTGGAAATGAGGCATTCCATCTTAGTCCTCACGGGTGACAACGCATCTGCATTTTGTTTGATTTAGATGTCTATGGGCAACAGCAATCACTATCTGTGGACTGTGTGCTCGTTTGTTACCCTTTTCCTATAAAATTAACATATAACCATGTGAATCGCAGGTACATTACGCGTTTTTAACTTTCCAATTTCTTTGTCTATCGAACCTTTTATGAAAATAATTGCGATATTATCTAAATATTTGATCAAGCGGAAGTTTTTGATAGGAAATGAATAAAACTTTGACGTTAATAACATTTAATTGTATCAAGGACTTTTACACAAATATTTATATTTATTTTTTCATGAAATAGCAATCATAAGTTGTTTCTCATTATAATTCAATACATGCATAAGAAACAACATTATTAGAGCCTTACAATAACTTGATTTCATAAACATGCAATTCACACCAAAACGCATAAACACGGAGGGCACACCTAGACTCGAAACTGACGTACGTCGGGAGGGACTAAGCTACGATTGCAGTTGGTTTTGTGTTTGAAGCAACAAATTGCAACAATTGTTCAGTACAAATTGGTTTGCGCTGTATTTTTTATATACAGGCTTTGGAATGTTTTCGTTCGGCGCGTACTTAAAAGACATGTTAGTATTGCTGCGTCAATATCGGTGGACTGAAGCTGATAATTCCGCTGCTCATTCACTTGACTCATAACTCTACCTTAAAGCTACTTACTAATATAAACTATTGACTAGATTTTGATAGATTAGATAGATTACATAAACCATAAAGTCGTGTATCAATTACGCGTTACTGGCGCGCGCGCGAAGAATGACCGCTCCGACCAATGCGCTCCGCGGAACGCGCTCCAAATGTTCGAAGTGTATCAACTAAGCGCTCCTGGCGCGCGCAACAGCCGCTCCAATGTTTGACCGTTCAACATGGATGTCGGTCGTGTACGAGCAGCTGTCCCAACTGGCATGCGCGCCAAATCTTAAACTACTTTGATGCGCGGTAAAAAACCGACTCCAGATGAAGCGACCCGCTCCACGTTCGAGCGCTCCAACGAACAATTATGCGCGCGCTCCAAGGCGGTATCTATTTCACGCGGCTGGAGCGCGCGCCAATGTTCGACCTCTTGGGGCGCGTAATCGATACGCGGCTTAGGACAAGAGTAAATAAGCTTACAGTGAAATTACCGCCAAAATTACCCTTAAATGCTAATACTATTTCTTCTTCCATTGAAGTAATATGTGTATACATAAGTACTTTAATGGCTCCGCCGCGCCGCGGGGACTCCGACTCAGCGACACTGACGCTAGAGCGGCGTATCTCTGTAGTTCACCATTATGGTTTGCATAAATCGATCATATCGATTAAATGCCCTAAAATTTCTATACTACTTAGATTTTTTACGTAAATCTTTCAACACCACATATTACGTGTACGTATTATCTGCTATAAGCTATATCAAATTACGCAAAAAAGAAATGTTTGTGTAATTATACATGTTTTCGTCCGTGAGGCTACCCAAGAATCACGTTAAACGTACATTAACCTGTGCAGTGTTTGGCCTAAATGCTATTAGAAATAAAATAAAATATGACTGCTACATTTATGATCACTAAATTATGGCGTTAAATTATGCAAAAAAAAAACTTTGAAACATTTTGTGTCGTGTATTGAGTACCCCATATCAAGTCGTGGGTGTCGTAAAAGGCGGCAATGGTAATAAAGGCATCTTCCTAATAACAACTCAAACTATTAAATATCTGCGGTTGTCAACCGGCCTGCTAAACGTGGCAACTATCCTCCCTATAATCTATGGACAGACCTACATACAGCTGTGGACTTTTGTTGAGCTGTAATGAATAAAAGAATTTAAGCTAAATATCCTCCAATAGGAATCATACTAGGATGCATATCCAAATACGAAAACCAACAATTTATGTTTTACTCAAATGTTATTCAATCAGGCAATTCAAACTGGAATCAAATTATGTGTAAAGCGGTTTTCGAACTCTTGATCTGTAGCGCCGCTATGTACTCCTCAGCCACTACGCTTCCGATCCAATTATTTCAGATAATCGGATAAGGACTAGACATGTGACAATCGTGAATGACTCGTTCATTTGACCCGGGTCGCATCAAAGTATTAATGATTGCAATTACATTTGGATCAAACGATTGATAGGACCTACCACCAAAGAATAAAGTAATATCCGACGACGAACATTATCGAGCGAGTCTCACAGATCACAGAGTACTGTAATACGAAATGATCCATTTGAACGATCGACCCGAATGACGCGGTTCGTAAGACGAATCGATACTTGAATGATCATCATTACAGCCCTTCTCAAGTCCACTGCTGAACATAGGCCTCCCCCGAGGAATGCCACAAAGCACGACCCTGAGCCACCTGCATCCATCGACTTCCTGCATGTCTTACCAGGTCGTCACTCCATTTAGTGGGGGGACGCCCTACACTTCGCCTACCATTACGAGGCTGCCGCTCGAGAACCTTTTTTCCCCATCGGTTGCCGATTCTTCGAGCTATATGGCCGACCCATTACCACTTCAGCTTACTAATCCGGAGGGCTATGTCAATCACTCTGGTTCTACTGTGGATATCCTCATTTCTAAGTTTATCACGCAGAGAAACCCCGAGCATAGCCCTTTCCATAGCTCGCTGAGCGACCTTGAGCTCCCTCATACGGCCAGCAGTGAAGGACCTCGTCTCAGTTCCGTAAGTTATCACTGGCAACACGCACTGGTTGTACTTGAATGGTCAGGTCACTAGAAATTAATGAATGGCTCGGTATTGCAGTAACTAGGCACAAGCATTTGGCTGGGACGATACAGGGCCTCGATTCGAATCCCGCGAGGGACAAGTTTTTGTATGGCGAAAAACAATTGTTCTCGATCTGGATCTGGAACCAAGTACAATTATTGCATGTAAAACTACTTCACTATACAAGAAAAAATCCTAATGTATGGGTTCACGTGGACGTCTCGCACCACGACACTGCTCCCTATTACTAGTCTGGTTACGTTTTTTTCGAACCAGTGGTAAAGTAAAAAATGACTCAATAAGAATTACACATGTAATGTATATGGAATAAAAATTATTCTATTCTATTCTATTCTATTAATTTTGGCAGTTTCGTCACAAGATTTACGAGTTTTAACATTAGAAAATAAATTAAAAGATCTAAAAAAATAAACTATTTCAGATATTTCTAGATAAACATGATTATAATGTATGTAAAAATACTAAACAAAACTCTTATTAACTAAATACCCTCATCAAGTCCGATTTTTATCCTCAGTAATACCGCTAGTCGCGCAGATAAAGAATGGGATCCATCTCTCGCTTGCACACTGCACAGCACGACTATATTCACACCCCGGTAATAATAAAAAAAAACGTAATTTATGCGTTGCGATTAGCGTTTTTTGTGCTTCCAAATTACATTTTTCCAAGTAAAAAATCATAAATGTTCAATATACTTTTTTTTGTTTTATTTTTTTTTTTTGTAAAGTATCAGTTATCAAAATACCAAAAATATATATTACTTATTTGTTAATAAATTTACATCCCTATTTAATAGACAGTTAATTACTTAAGTACATAATTCAATTAATTTTAATATACTAATCAGTTTTTACCAATAACTAAAAATTTTAGAATACTACAAAACAATAAATCATAATGTTGTAATGAATATAATATTGTTATTTGTAATACAACATTGCAACTTTATAAGCACTGTTTCCGCTTAACGTAGTGTGTATGCTGACAGTACAGGCTCTACAAACCGCCATTTCTAATCCCATTCTTTATCCACACAAGTATGTATTATGATTTCATCAACAGCACTGCTGAATATAAAACACTTTTGTATAAAAAAAATATCATCACATAATTTTTTTTACCCTAATTTTATAATACTTGTCACACAATTACCCTTTTTTTTTATCAAATGAATAAGTTAATATACATGCCTGTATAAGATTACAACCTTAAGATTACAACCTTAATAATAATTTTTAAATTGTAAATCAGATTTGTCTAAGTCTAGTTTCTGTGATATTAATGCTGTTAGCCTATGCGGCTCTTACAGCTTCATCGGACTCAGGCTCGTTAGAATCCCTAGGATCGTTAGGATCGTTATAAAAACATTGATCGCATTATAATCAGCAATCTTTCATGCTGTCTTAGAAAACAATTGATAGATTGCCTTACTAACAGATGGACCTACATTCCGACTTAAGTCAGCATATTTCAAATTAGCAAGCAATAGTTCACCTTCCTTCTGATTACAAAGTTTATAGGCGTTTATAAGGGAATGAGGTGTCTTGTACTGGCTTGTTATTGCAACAGCTTTCTCTACAGAAACTCCTTTTAACTGAAGCAATATTTTTATGAATGCTTCAGTGACAGTTAATGCCTTATTTTTTGCCGATGATTTATTGAAATAATTAAATGTCATTAGCACATTTTGTTCTGGTGGTTTGTCGCTTCCTATCAATTTTTTATTCTGAAACAATGACAATTCATTATACATAAATATATCAATCTCATGATACCCTAGTGTGATTACCTTTCAAATAGCAATCAAAGAGGAAAAATAATGAAATTATATGCAAAGGCTTTGCAGTGTGTTGCCAGCGTAATAGAACATATCACACTATTTTATCCCATTGGCCATAGGAGTCCCCTTCTTTCTATTTTTTGGCTACTATAAAAAAATCTGCCAATATCATGTCTAATCAAAATTATTATGCACATAAAATAGTTAAGAGAACTGATTTTCTGTTATGATACTTTGACATTAAGATGCATAGTTAACTATTTTAAATTATTTATTTGTTTGTATGTGAAAATAATATCTATACATAGTATAAAAAAATCACTTCCAACTGTGCGCTTAGATTTTTTTAAACTACATAACGGATTTTGATACGGTTTTCATCAATAGACAGAATGTTGCAAGAGGAAGGTTTATACATGGTAGAGCCATGCTGCAGCTATATTAGTAGTATAGTTGTAGCACGAATGGGTCGGCTCGACTGGGGAAGGAACACGCTCTCACAGAATACCAGCATAAAATGGCAGCTTAACACTGCTGTGTTACGTATGGGGAGTGTAGAGATCCGGAGACCCTTTTACTGGAAAAGAGGCATACCATCTTAGTCCTCATGGGTGACAACGCATCTGCATTTTGATTTGCAAATGAGGATAGATGTAGATGTCTATGGGCCACAGCAGTCACTTACCATCAGGTGGGCTGTGTGCTCGTTTGTCACCCTATCCTATAAAAAAAATGTATGATAAATGCATGTTATATATCATATAATTTTTCTGTGTGTGTATGTGACTGAACTCCTAAACGGCTCAACTGATTTTGATGAAATCTTGTGTGATTAAGTTGATTAGAGAATGGTTTAAATTCACAATTGGATCCGGTAGGTGGAGTTGTTGTCGAGATCCAGAAATCGACCATGCAAAAGTAAAATAGGACTTTTCCAACACATTAGAAACTTGTTACTCACCTTGTATCTAACAGTCAGTCTTTTAGTGAGAATCGCCAAAAATCTTGCAGAGAAAACCAAAGACTTAGTTATGTGGATAGTGAAACCATCCACTACTCTAATATTGGCCAAAGCTTGCATGAGGCACTGTATTGGCAATCCCAAATTTGTATTACTTCCATAATTTTCCACCAAATAAATAACATTCTGAATGCCACATCGTCGAAGCCTGAATTTCTGCTCATGAAACCTTCCATCCTTAATACTTGCTGCTAGGTCATCCATTCTTTTTCTTTCAACAATATATGGCAAGACGAATTCCTGATCTTTATAATTTTTGTGTCTAGCTATCCAAGTAAAATCTCCAATTTTAAGACTTCGGTATTCATGCAGTAAGTTAGGATATTTTTTAAATTCAACCACAGTTGGATCATTCTTCTTTGTGAGTCTGAAAACAAATGTATTTTAATTGTAGGTACATGTCTCATTTAAAAAGTTGCTATTTCGTAATTTATACACATATAAATAAAATGTGAGAGGCTCCATGGTGCAGTGGTTTAGCAATGACTCGAACGCCTGGGGCTGCAGGTTAGAATCCCGGACGGAAGAGATATTTGCATGGCCTACAAATGATTGTTTTGAAGCTGGATGTTTGTCCTTGTACAATTTATGTATGTAAACTGCCCCCACAATACAGGAGAATATTCTGGTGTGGCCTTTTATTAAGATGATGGTGTTATTTGCATGCTATTAAGACATGAATAAGTATTATTAAAATTTTTGTCTATCCATCTGTGTGTTTGCCTAGGCTAATCTTTGGCATGGCTCAAGTGATTGTAATGAAAATTATAGATTTTTTTTTATTTATTTCAAATTTGATAAAACAAATGGTCTGATAATAATCTTAGATTCAATTAACCTTACATTAACATACGCAGGGCCAGGGCTAGTTGCTAGTTATAAGTAAAGAACAGAGATTAAAGTAAAGATATAATTACTGTAAAAGTATTTCATACAAAATCTGAACTAATGTGTACAAACTTTTACAACATAATCATCACAACCACATTGTCTTTGTGGCATTCCTTGGGGGAGGCCTATGTTCAGCAGTGAACTTGTGAAGGGCTGTAATGAATGAATGAATTAATGAAGATATTTTCTTTATACACTATGCTACTATTACGACTAAAAGCCACTTAGGCAAATGGGTGGACCTTTTGCCTAAGTGGCTTCCTGACCGAAATAGATCTTTATTTGTCTTAGGAAATAGGAATATAGTATTGGAGATATATTTGGGTTCAGATGCAAGTAAAGTCAAATTTTACAATTGTCTAACTAGCTAACTAGCATACATAGACATTAATATTGTTGCAATATTTATTTTTTATAGAAGAGGGGTCAAACGAGCATGCGGCTCACCTGATGGTAAGTGACTACCGCCGCCCATGAACAACCACAACACCAGGGGAATCGCAGATGCGTTGCCGGCCTTTTAGTAAGGTGTAAGCTCTTTTTTTGAAGGTCCCTAAGTTGTATCGGTCCAGAAAAAAAACTGAGTGCTTTCATAGGACTGGTTTTAAAGTGGCAGCCTTGAACCAGTCAGCAATGTGTAAAATGACTAATTACTAGTTGAATTTACAACCTGGTAAGATACAGGAAGTTGATAGATGCAAGTAGCTCAGGAGCATGCTTTGTGTCATTCTGAGGATTTGTGATGGCCAATAATAATTATATTGATGTATATGTATTAGACTGTAACATATACTAAAATACATACCCGCCCGTTTCATTTTTATCTATCAGCAAAATAATGTCAAAAGATCCTGGATCCATTTGTAAGCCATTTGCATTTTGTAGGTTATTGGTTTCTGGTATATTTGAAGAAATACTAGTATTAGCTGATTCAATACCATTTTTATCTAATTGAATAACATTTTCTTCAATATTGTTAGCCTCTTTGTATGACAATTGATTCAGACTAGAAGACTCTACCGTAAAAATTATATCATTAGCAGTAGATGTTTCTAATGAGTTTTTCAACAAATCATTTGCTAATACAAATCCATTTTCTGTCAAAGAATACTCATTATTATGATTACTTTCTTTTACCAGCCCTTTTGTGATTAACCTTTGCATGTTAGACCAAGCTGTATAAAAAGAATCAGGACTTGGAACAGTAAATGAATCATCACAATATTTCTGAGCATATTCTATTATTGTATCTTTATTTAATGATTTTCTTTTATTGGTTTTGGTATGTTCAAACAATGCTATCAAAATTGCATAGCCGCCAGACCTATATGATGGCTTATAAACTTTGGATGTAGCTTTAGGACTTTCTGGACTAGAAAAGCCAATGCTATTTTTACTGGTCGAAGGCTGGTTTGGATCATATATAAAATTGTTTTCTGAGCAAGTCGATAAAGGCAATTGATTTCGGGATCTATTATATACTTCTAGCCTTTTATCTAGGAACAAGCATAACCTTTTGTCGAAACCATTAAGAATAGCACATTCTGCACCAGTCTGCAGTGGTAAAGGATATTTAGAGAGGGATGCCAAAGCAGTTTCAAGCATGTTTTCAAGTTTACTTTTTTTTTGTTTGGCTTCTTCATGCAATTCCTCCAGCCAGTTCTGAAAGATTGGATTTGGTCGTTTACGTTTTAAAGTAATTCGATTACCTGATTCAATGGTGTCCATTTTAATTATATTTCATTGACTGAATGCAATAGTCAAAGAGTATTAGAGTACAATAAGTATAGCAATAATCCAATAAATTACTTTTCGAGTAATAATCAATAAATGCAGCAAACATTTGAAAGCGTTTGACAGTTTATGCAGCAAATATTTGACAGTGAGTAGACTTGGGCAAAAAATATCGATATATCGATATTTTATAATAAAAATATCGATATATATATCGTCGATATTTTAAATCGCGATATATCGACATATCGATATTTATTATAGAGTATCGAATTCGTATCAATTTCAATATATTTTAAAATGTTGTATCGTTTTTTTCGTCGTACAACCGTCCGTAGATAAAATTTTGGACCTTATCTTTACATCATTCAAATGATGACGATATATCGATTTATCGATATTTATCACGTGATATATATCTTTTCTGTATAGATTCGATATATATCGATATATTTTTTCCCTTTGCCCATCCCTAACAGTGAGTAGTGACAGCTGACAGTTGGGTGTGTTCCGATATACACTGTGAGTACTGTAAGGTGAGTAGTCAATAATTCAGTATACTGTGAAGCCAACGGAATGCAGTCCACGTATACTGTCATCCCCATTTTTCGACACTGTTTTTAAATGAAAATATTTATCATGTACACATTTTCTGTTCAACAAGAAAAATTATTATTTGAATGTGGTTGTTTTCAAAACTTAATGTCTGAGTTTATTTGGATAACAATATTAATTAATAATAGTAACAATAATTAGTGGACGCTGTTAAATCTCTAGGCGTTGTTATGTTTTTTGATCACGTGATCAAAGTACTGAGAGCACCTTACCTCTAAAGCGCCAGTGCTCACAGTACAAAAATGGCGGCGATTTATGACGTCATAATACATTTTCCTAGGGTACTACGGTAGCATACTGGCAGTCCATAACGGAACAATTTTTTCACTAGTGAGAGCACTGAGCATGAGCAGTGCTCATAGTGTATACATCGTAACATACCCTTGGCAACTTGGTATGCGTAATGGCGGCTCTTCAGGTTGGCCAACATGCTGGCGAATGTATTGGCAGAGATATTGGCCAAGAGTTTGTGATTGCGTCCACACGTTGGAAGGTCGTTCAGTTTGCTTCGGTTCAGGCCAATGTACGGACGAATTTATTAAAATGATTATTGAGGCGCTAACGGCTGCTACGGTTTATTTATTCACAGCATACAACTACAACGTGAATGTGTATAAGAAAAGAGTATCAAAAAGAAATGGAAAAAATGAAATTTTATTTCTTGACGGCTCCGTAGCGTAGTGGCTTTGCAATGAATTGCTGCGTTGGGGGCCGCGTGTTCGAATCCCGCACGGAACAATTATTTGTATGGCCAGCAAATAATTGCTCCGGGTCTGGATATTTGTCCTTATGCAATTTATGTTTGTAAACTGCCTCCAAGATACAGGAGAAAATCCTATTGTGAGGGTAACGTTTTTTTTTAAAAAAGACTTGAAAAACTTGTGTTTCACTAACAATTTCCGGCTTGGTAGGGCTCTATAAAGCCAAAAGTTTTTTCATTGGTCATTGTTATTGTATTTTATATTATTTATATTGATATTGTATGCCATTATGTAGACACTAGTTACGATGCGTACATATAAAATTTAAATCAGGTGCGTGCGATCATTCTGGGAGCTCGTAGCAAACTGAACGTGTGCCCAACGTGTGGACGCGGCAGCCAATACTCTGCCACAACCCTTTGATCTTTTGCAAAAAACCGACACCACACGGATCTCGCGCCAACTTGTGGGCCATCGTTCCAATACATACCAATGTAAGCACAAATACTCGCTCTAAACGATGTTTATCGTTATTGGCCAACTCATTCGCCTGTATGTTGGCCAACGTGAAGAGCCGCTTTAAGCCATAGACTTAGGTAAGCGCGGGTAAGCGTCATATTAGTCTATGTCCTTGGTGTTATTCTTTTTTATAACTAGCTTTACGGCTTTGGGTTCTAGCCCTTCTGAGCCTAAAGATACTATTGCAATATATAATCATCTTTAAGAATTACAAATGTAACGAACGATAGGAATTTTGGAGGGAAATTGACCAGGGACGGATTGCTACTCCTGTATTATTGTTTAAATAATGGTTTGAAGTGGATTTTGATATGTAAAAGTGGAACGATTTTGTGTATTAAATGTCTGCGCATGTGAACTATTAGTGGAAACGATGAAACAAGTGCTCTGATGGTGATGTGATTCTCAAGATAAGGTGTCTGTCTTAGGCGCCATGAGATACCATCGCCAACTGTCAGCTGTCTGCTGGCTCAAGTTGCCGTCAAAATCTCCCAAGGGCTGCACAATGTGATACATCAACATATTGTGAAGCAGTGTACTATGAAGGATAATTATACATTGTAACTTCAGGCTCAGAAGGGCTTGAACCCAGAGCTGTAAAGCCAGTTATTAAAAAATCACGAACGATACATTCATCAAAAAATCACTTTCACCGCTTTCACGTTGATTCACAAAGTTTTATTTATCTATTACGTTGTTTTCATTTTTATATATCTTGAACACCAGAAATAAAGGAATATAATGGTCGGAAGAATTTTTCATCAGCTAATAGACTGAAGAGTATCAGGAACTTTACCATTGTTAATATCTTTAATGGAATTAATGATAAGTAATATATTCAAATCAAATTGACAACATTGAAAAAATGTTTTAGGTCTCCTATCGTGTCGCCACAATATTCATAATTTGCATTTTCTTTCATTCTCAAACGATGCAGGTGGTCTACTCTGCTATGCCAAAATCACATTCGGTTTACAGCCGTAATGAATTTTCTATTATTAATCCTTTTTTTTTTGTTGTAACCAAGGACTGGCTGGCGGGCTTTTTGTATTTCATTTTACCAAATTCCTTTGGACTTGCTTATCCTTTCAACTGCGGATGTCTAACACTTGGACACGAAAATATCTCCGTTGACTGCGAGTGTCCAAGTGTTAGATATTTTTTACTCGCTTTTTTAATGAAGAAACAAAGCACTAAGCACTATGTCTAATGGTAGATACAGACTGGTCCCACGTACGCAACGTATGCAACGCATTATGACGTCTGGACTCTTGATTTTGTATGAAAAACTATGCTTTAGAAACACACTTGTCGTATGCAACACAATCACACACGTCCGACGCCATATACTCTTTGGACGCAACGTCGATCTGCGATGTCTAGATCGGCGTGGGAAGGTGGAGGTGGAGGGCACATCAACGACAGAATTAGAAACAACGCTGGGATCGTCCAGCGAGAAACAAATCCTCCCCCAAGGGTAAGATGCAGAAAAAGACTGCATCCTAGTCCAAACCTATTGTGCCAAACACGGCGGCAGTCTGCAGAATTAGTGTGAGCCGGCACCACACTCCGGACAAGACACCGGTCCGACGAACCTAGAGGGGCGTCGACGGAAACGTGATATCCGTCCGGATGAGAGGTCAGCAGAAGGTCCATCAGGGAAGGTGCATGATGCTCCATATCTGGAATCCGCGTAGGCTAAATAACCAGCTGTGTAAGACCATATGCCAAGGCAAGGTCATAAACAGATCTCCCCGCATGATCCGTTAAACGTGAACCGAGACATTTGACGTGGTAGGCGTTAAAATCGCCAAGTATCACATCAGCATGTAAAGTCAAACCGTTTTGGCAAACGGAACACTTTACCCCATCTCTGAAATCTCCGTCACAACGCGTACACTTGAACATATTTTAATAGCTCACTAACAAGGTGGACAAAAAGTTAAGAGAATCACGTTAATGAGTAAGGTCTGGCGTCTACGTACGTAATGAAGTACGACTACTCCTTACAAAAATATATCATTGTACTAAAACCCTGCCGTAAAAATTGTAGTTCCTTATTTAAAAAAAAATGGAGGCATGATATTTTATCGTTAAATAGCGAATGAATTATTTTAACAAAACAATTTTGTCGCGTTAATGTGGAAGCGCCAGGGTAGCCCGCGAAATTCAAATTTTCTTACGTTTTTTACAATTTGCAGGTCAGGGTCAGGTTGAATGTTTTATAAACTATGATTCGCAACCGTAACGAGTATGTATTTACAGTATTATAATCATTATAATAATCTATACAACCGTCTATATTCGTGTAATTCCAATGTATAGCTATTTCCAGAAAAACTCGTTTAAAGGGATTATATGAACTTAGAGGGTTGTATTGGTGATTTTAATGATAATAATTTTATAAACACATACTCGTTACGGTCGTGAATCATATTTTTTAAACATTCAACCTGACCCTGACCTGCAAATTCCAAAAAACGCAAGAAAATTTGAATTTCGCGGGCCACCCTGGAGCTTTCACCTTAAGCTAGCACGCCATTTTATCAACGCAAATTATAGATTATGAAAAATAAATCGCGCAGATGTGACACAGGTATTGATTGCCATATTATTCTTTTTTTTTTTGTAGTGAAAACGTCGTTCCCACATTAAAGCGTCTCCCACCCACAAGCGGATTGCGGTGGCGGCTAACCGCGAGCCGCGGCTCCAGCTGCTGCAACAACACACCCGGTCGCAACGGCGGTTTCAAGCGCCATTCGCTGTGGTGTCTGCGCTACGATTAGACGTCAGTAAACATGGCTAACCGTAATTTATATTCAGCATCATTATCATATATTTTGTTTTTAATCCTAATGCTTTTGTAATCAAGATGTGAATTATCATAAAGTATAATTTTGCTCTGTTTCTATTACAATCTCTGAATTTAGCATCATTTTTCAGGCGGTACACGCGGCCTACTCCGCCCCTTCCGCCAACGCGTGTGTTAGCGAGTACGCGGTCAGTTGAAAATTTTTACAACAGGCCCCGTGTACCGTGTGAAAAATGGTACTAAATTCAGAGATTTTAATAGAAACAGTGCAAAATTATCCAGTACTTTATGATAATTCGCATCGTGATTACAAAAGCATTAGGATTAATAACGAAATATATGATAAT